CCCAAGACTGAACACAAATACTCCAAATATGGCCTAACCTGTGACTATACAATGAAATTATAACCTCTTTAGTAGATAAAACCTAAGTTCCTATTTGCCCTACCACTAGCAACAGCACACTGCTTGGATGGCTTAAGAGATTGATCAACCATTACACCAAGATCCCTTTCTTTCATGACACTGTTAAGATTATTTTCATCCAAATTATAATGCAAATTATGATAACCCACATGTATTATCTTGCATTTTTATAATTGAAACCCATTTGCTAAACTCACTAAATGATCTAAATCATTTTGTAAATTAGCAGCATCCTCTTCACAGCTAGCAACACCAAAGATCTTAATATCATCAGCAGATTTAAGTAATTTACTGACCATTCCTTCATCAATGTCATTGATGTAAATCAAAAATTGCAAAGGTTCTAAGACTAAGCCCTGAGGTACCCCACTTTTAACTTTAATCCAGTTGGACTGAACTCCTTTTATAACAACCCTCTGCTTTTTTCCATCCAGCCACTCTTCTATACAATTTGCTAACTTATCCCCCACACCTATAGAAATATTTTTTTTTACAAGCCTTTTATATAGCACCTTGTCAAATTTTTTCTGAAATTTCAGATACACTAAATCTACATCCTTACCCTCAGCTACATAAGCAGTAACCTTTTCAAAGAATGTCAAAAGATTTGTAAGGTAAGACTTTTCCCTTAGTGAAACCATGTTGACTACCCAATAAAATTATAAACCTTGTTAAATGGCTTTGCAAAGCATCTTTTAATAGGCTTTCCAAACTCTTCCCACAATTGATGTAAGACTAATAGGCCTATAATTACTAGGACAATTTTTATTACCTCTCTTGAAAAGAGAAGTGACATTAGCTAACTTCCAATCTTTTGGCACCTGTTCACTATTAAAGGACTTACCATGTTTCAGTTATTGCCATTGTATCAAAATCTTCCATTCCTACCAGTGCTCTAAAGTCATCTATTTTATTTCTTATACTTCTAGCATTACAATAGTAACAATTAAGCCTATACTTATAATTACTTCTATACTCATTTTCTAGGCTAAACTTTTCTCTACCTCTTATTCTTTTTGCATTTAATTTATCCTGGTCCTCACCACTGTCTAGTGTTAGTTTAAAACTTCCCTTACTGCTGAGTTAATAGCTCTTGTAAACAAGCCAGCCCCTATCTTATTTAAATGTAAACCATCCATTCTAAAAGGCTCCCTTCTTCCATTGAACTGATCCCACAAGTCCAACCAGCCAATCTGCTCATCCTTACATATTAACCTAAGCCTAGCATTTGGTCCTAGTGACCTATTTATAACTTCATCCCTAGGTTTTATCCTGGGCGGTATCCCTGACAAAATTAAGTTATGGCCTTTTCATATAAATGTCTATATCAACACTTTGTACTTATTAATTAGCTTTTCTGACTTATCTTTCTCTACATCATTAGCCCTGACGTGCACAACAAAAACTGCATATCTGCTAGCCCTCTTTATTATATCTCCTGTTCTGTCAGTTATATCCTCCACCTGTGTCCCTGGGTAGCATAATCTAACTCTTTTCTCCCTGTTTATCCCATACACTATCCTATCCACATGCCTTGTCAAGGAATCACCTATAACTTCCTTAAGTTTATCATCTATATCCTTCTCTGTCCCTTTGTTTTCTTCCCTCCAATAGTGCCTCATCTGCACAAGCCAATTACAATTAAATTAATTAGTTTTAGCCCTAATAGTACATTTTCTAATTTCCTGAAAGTCATTGTTAACTATGTATTCCTTGCATGTAACAGTTTAAGCTCCTCCTGAAATCCTGCTGTCATTTCCCAGTCTACACTTCTCTTTATCTATTGCCTCTACTTTAATTAGGATAGCCTACACTTTCTCCTCCAACCTACAAACTCGACATAGAAATTGCACATCTTCACTACTAGCTTCCTTAAAAGTACATACTATTTCTGAGTTCCCAAATAAAACCCACTCATTACACCCGTCACACCTAACACTGTTAATGCTTAATTTTCTACACTAGTCTTAATCATTGTATTAATAGCCTGAAAATAAACACTCATTACTAAATACCAGTAGCCTTTACCATGCATATTGTTATTGGGTGGTGCAAGACATACTCCTTGTTGCAGAGAAATATTAAATGTACAATGTGAAAGTTAATATCTGGTTTAGAAGGTGATCTGGAATTTAAAGTATCCTCCACATGTTACTGAAATTTTAAAACCCTACAAATATGGAAATATCTATCACATAACAGTAACAAATTTTGAAAATATACAAAAAAATAATTTAATTAATGACACCAATACAGTTTTTGATTTCTGTTATATTTTATCTTGAAGATTGAATTAACCTTTTAGGCAATATGAAGACCATGATTTTCAACATAATAATGATTATATTACTAACGTTTAAAAGAGTAAGCTGGGAGTAGAAATGAACTGACATAAACCACAGCATTTTTTATCTATTTAAAACATTTTCATATTATTCACAAAAGCTATATTTCTTGTACAGAAGTCCTCATTCTGAAACATACAGCACAAAGCATCCATTTTTCTGTTACAGTATGTTTTGTATTCAGTGTGTATATAGGTATTGTCCATATAACTGTGTAGACACAGAATAGATACCGAACTTGAGAAATTTTGAAATTTAAATATTTGGAGTGTATTAAAGATCAATCTAAATCATAGGTGTCCTTTTTGATATTTTCTAACATGATTTGGTAATCTCTTCACAGAATTTCTGATACCCCAGTACTACAAGCAGAAGGTCATCTTTCTTTCCCCACAGAATTGTCTGGATATTGTACCCCTCCCCATAGCAGTTCACCACATGCCTCCTTCAGTTTTAGTGGTATATTTCCTGGTGTTAAAAATGGAAATGATGTTTTTTCTGTAATGGAAAGAAAACGGCACTCAACTCCTTACATATTTTCTGAGTCCCTGTCAGACAGCAATGAGCCATTAGATATGACCAAAAAATGCTGTAAGACTTCTGAACAATCTGAAACCGTGTCGTATGGACAGTTACAACAACAGAGACCATCAGTAATAACATGTGCTCCAGCTCTGATGCATTCACATTGTCAAAGAACTGACCACATGAAAAATGTGGGACAGCCATCCCTGCTGAGTGTTACAAGTCTGACTAGGAGCAGATCTTCATCTTTGGATGATAATATTCAACCTGGTTATCGACGGGAGGTGGTTTCAGGTATAAACAGAGTAGGATTTTATGCAACCAAAAGATGTACTCACTAGTGCTAAAGATAGTATGTATATATATATATATATATATATATATATATA